AACACCATTAAGCTCCAGACCTTTTGTTTACTAAGAGAAGCTCTGATAAGACTGAGAGTTGGCAGATCTCCAAAGCAAGCTGAGAAAGACTTGTGACACCTAAAGCTAATACTCATGCAGTTCGCTGCAAAGATGTGCACCATCACAAGACATAAAACAACAAATGTTATCCATCATCTCATACTATTCATACTTAGAACTGGAATCTGCTATAGCGGTTGGTAAGCAAACTCGCTGGTGGATAGGGAGGGTTTTAAGCTGGCTATAAAAATGTACACCTTTTCATTCTCCATGCATCCATTTGACCTATGATACTGCTAATGTATCCCTTAGGGAATGTGTAATTTATTTTACAGGACACTTCCATGGAGTGAGCACAGTCCCTCTGTCACTCTGGCTGTGTAGCCACAGCCACAGGGATCCCATGAGATGGGAAGAATCAGGGTAGCTGACACACAGGTGCGGTGCAGCTTAGATACCAGGCACACTTCAGAAACTCCCTACAGCACTCAGACCCAGCACAAAGAAAGTGAAGGAGTAACTCTGTACTCTCTGCTACTACCCTCAACTGCAGCTAATACCTCCTGGGTGCAAAGGAAACATTTTTATAATATCTTGGGCTCCCCAGTAAAAGGTACTGTACAAGTGTAGTGTTTTATAATTACCACCTATGGTCTTGCAGGTTTTCCCTGTTTTCTCTTTCTTAGGGGACTGTAAGCTGTTGCTCCTGCAGAAGCTCCAGTCCCTCCAAAGTGGGCTGATCCAGAAGGACGTGCTGCGTTTTAGCTTGTTCTGAGAGATGATGCTGCTGTGATGTGACCTGTCCAAGTTGTAGGAGAAGGATTTTGATTCTCTTATCTGGACATGCCTGGGAGGACTACCTGTGCAATTGCAGTCACTGTTATAGGTGGAATGTATGCACAGGACCTTCTTTTGTTTCTTCCCTGAGCTGAAAACCCCTTTTTCATCACCTTCAGAGAATCCCCAGTTCACATAACCACCTTCAGCTTCTTCCCTGTCATTGCAGGAGGGTGCTGCACTCTCTTCAATATCCAACGATGGCTGGAGACCAAGAGGATGATCGACCTTTGCAGCATTAGTCTTTTCTGATGGCAAATGACTAACAAAGTCTCTCTGGCTCCACTGATAATCTTCTGGCTCTTTTCCAATGAGGTTGACACTCCTCAAATTTTGCTGCACCACAATGCTACTTTGCAGTTCATCTCTGAATTCATCGTCCCTGTACTTGGCAGCAGTGCTCAAAAAGGACAAATTTAAGGTGACATCCTCAGAGAAAGACCCTCCCTGATGGTCAGGGGGCACCAACAAAAATTGTCCAAATCTAGAAGTTGACTTAGTCTCAGAGGATACTCCCGAAGTGAGTGTGTCACTTTCTATTTCTATCTTTTGAAAGCTCTCTTCTACCACCTTGTTACTCTCAGTCCTCAATATGTGGTCTTTGCACTCTGATGGCCACTGACTCCTTACCAAGCTCCGTAAGAGGGAGGGTGGCATGCTGTAGTAGTGGTACTTCTTGTCATACAAACACTCCAGGCTGCTCAAGGTCTTGGAATAGAGAGCATTGCTCCAGCTATGGGGCAGCTTCCTGCAGGTTCGATGTTTTGTGTCAGCCAATAAGGCTTCTTCCACCTGCAAGGTGTCTACAGCTGAAAGCACTTTCAGGATGTCCACTGTCAAGGCAGACAGGTCTTGCAAATGTCCTAGCTGGCTGTCCAGGGAGAGTAAAGACTCCTTGATATAAAACACCTTCTCATGCACTTCTTTAAGCTGCAGAAACATTTCCTCCACTCTAGGTAGAAAAATAAAAGATAATTAAAATACCAAAACACAGATCTTTACTTTTGTTTGCCAGATGATGAAGGAAGCCATTAATACATTTCAAAAAGTCAGTGTTTCAAAAAGTCTTTTTGTTTTTATGGTGACTTCCATTCCCATGAATATCTGTATTTGACAAAACCCATCCAGACTTACATGATGTCATTCAGATTACTGGCACAACAGCCAGTGACTTTTAAGGAAACAGGCTTTTTGCTCAAGGAGTATCTATTTTAAAAACTGTTATTTTCCTACTAATGTCCACTCCTTGCCAAAAAACTACTGAACTATGGACAGCAGGACACAGCTTTGGAAATGCTGCACTGGCTATTACTGTAAATGTAAAAGGCTGTAAAGTATGCTTCTTGTCAGCCATTCATCCTGCATTTCTACATTTCTTGTGCAAGCATGAGAAGGACAAGGCTCACACAAACCTACAGGTACTCTTGCATTTCTCAAACACTGGAGACTGCTGGGAAAAGGGTCTTCCCAACAACCTCTTTGGCCTCTGGGAACAGATTCTGTATGTCTGATGCCATCAGTTATCTTCAGGTAAAATTCAACTGCCCAGAAAGCAAAGCTTTTTTTTATGGTCTTCAAATCCTCAGTGAACAGTGCAAGAACTTCTTAGCCTGGAATGATATCATTTTAACCAAATCATTACCTTCACATTTCCTGAAGATACTCTCTCTGGTGCTCTATCACTAAGACAATGATAAACTACCTGCAGGCAATATGCAAAATTTGCTCCTTCCCTTTGTTACTGAGTAACTAAAAGATGTAGTATTTAACCAATAGCTGAACAAAATCGAAGACCAGTATTCCAAAATATTTTATTAATCTAAATTAATTTCTTGTATTAATGTTATGCAATGCTGTGAAGTGTGTTTCACCTTTGCACTCAGAAAAAAATCCCTTTCCAGATCTATATTTATCCACTAAATGAAATCTTCTTGCTGTAATCGATTCTGCAGCTTTTGAACAAAGCTACTTATTTTATTTCTTTTACAGGGGACATTCATTTCGCTTGTGTGTTTTTTTTTAGTATGTAGAAAATAAGATTATGAACAGGCAAAGATTAAGAGGCTATCTTTCTCTAGGTAAAACAAATTTATTAGGTGAGATCAGTATTGGCATTCAGTAAGACTTTTTATAGTGCTCACTTTCTTCAACTCTTCCTATTAAACTTAATAGCAGTTTTGCCATTGATTTCAATAGAAAGCTAAATTAGGCCAATACTGAGACTTCTGAAACCAAGACACTACATTGCAGTTAATGCTACAATGGTTATATGGTTATTTCTGTAAACAGCAGTTATACTCAATCACAAGCAATGCTCTCACAGTGTTCCTACACTGCTAAGCCTTTAAATAAAAATATGTATTGTAAAACGTACTGTGGCATGTTTCTGTGGTGCTACCTGGTCTGCAAAAGTGAAACTGAGCAACACCTTACTATACCCATTTAACCACCTACACATTGCACACATCTGGGAATGCAATTCTGCCAGCAAGGCTTCCCAGCCAGGCCTGCCATGCAGGCAAAATAGATACATTACATTTCCATCAAATCAGCAAGGCCTACATGTGTTATTTCTCCTCATGTTCACAGTGGCCATAACCTATTCCAAAATCATTAGCTTATCAAAGTCTTTTTATATGAGATATGTATAAAAAGAGCACAAATCTGCAGCAAAACACACCTTTCTGTTGTCAGACGGATCCTTTCACTGTCACTGGAACTCAGGCTTTCATTCTTCTCATGAAAATATTTTTCCACACACTGTTCCTCGAAGTCATGTAGTTTCTTTAACTCCTCATCACTCAGGTACAGCTCTGAACAAAGGAGACAGGAGTTGGTACGAAACATCCATGACAAAAAAAGAAAAGTGTCAGAACAGGTTTCTTCCCCCTCCCTTGACAAGAATGAATCAGACCTAACTCCATGAATTTGGCCTTATGTATAAGACTCAACATGCCAAATACATGTAAACGTGTTTTTTATCTTTCCTTAGGGAGCAAAACCACACTGACCTTCCAGTGCACTCCCTTTTAAAGCCTCAAAAGCACATACCCAAATGGCTGCTCACACAGATGTATTTTCTCCCAAACCTTTTCCTGTATTTTGTTATACATGTGTGACTCACAAGACTTAGTGATAGATGTGTAAGACAGAAAGATTTCACTACAATTTGGTCCAGGCATTCCCTCAGGACTATAACAATTAACAGTCCTTTCAGGTACTCAAAGCTACAAAGTTTTCACCTAATTGCTTCACATTTCATCTGCATAAAACATTAAGCAAGATTACTGGCCAAAAAAGAACATGTTCAGAAGTTTAAAACTCCACTGTTTGGGCTGCTTATGATGCTATTCTTCTAGCACACCAAGATTTCAGAAAGAACAGATCGATTATATGTCAGTATGAAGAAATGCATATGGTGGAAAGCTGCTTCTCTGATCCAAACTCTCCATCTTCCAAGCTCCTTTTTTCTTTCCTTTTTTACATACCAGAGTCCTCACTGTACTTGCTAGGGGGGTATCTGTGCCAAGTGACACGGCAGTGTTTGCTACAAGCATGTAGTACTTGGCTGCAACAC